ATCGAAGGGCGGATAGGGAAGCTGGAGAAGGGAAAACATCAGGGCGGGGCTTGAACACGGGAGGAGGAATAAAACGCGCAAACTCGCGACGAGCGCCTCTCTTTCTCCCTTGTTCTGTCTTTCTTCCCCTTTTCTTCCGTCCCCCTTTCTCTTCCTTCACCGCCGCTTCTCCCTTCGAACGAGTCACCCCATCCGGTTTTCCTCTTTTCACCTTTATATGGATTTTTTTAGCCCCTTCTTCCTCTCATTCGTCGAGAGCCTTGCGCAAACTTGCTGCACGAGCCCTCCTCATTTCTTTCCACTCTCAATCTCCGTCTTTTCCCTTCCTAGTTTTTCTTTCTCTCTCATAGGTGCTACAATTCAGTGGTTTTAATGTCTCGTCTATTTCTACTTCGTCAAAAGTGGTCATCAAGCTTTTTATGTTGCTCCGCTTTTCTTAAAAATTATCTCTCGTTATTGTATCGCGTTTTTCTTCGAAATATATTTTTTCGTAGGAATGTCTCCCGTAATCTCTCCTCTCTCTCTCTTTAATCTTTTCCCTTTTTAATAATTTCTTATCTGTTCCTGAGAAATATTTAATATAACATGCGGTCATATAAAGTCCGAGGACAGTGAAAGCGTTCGAGAACGCTTTAATAATGATTCGATTTACGGTGTGCAAATCGAAGATCTCGCGACTTTTCGCGATCGTTTCGCTGCCGGCTCTTCGGCTTGACTTCTCTCGAACCGGTTCGCGGGAAGTTTCTGTGTTAACTTCTTTTTCCTCTCAATTTATATCGGACCCCTTCCAGCAAAGTAACGAGTCACGCTCGTGCCATGCAACAGCGATAGCTAATCGGGTATAAAACGGAGGCCACTTGCCGAGTCAAATGTGGTTTTTATCATTCTAGCAAGCCCTTAATCCTGGAATTAATTAACTTCCAATGCGCTTCTGAAGTGTCAAAATTTACGCACGTAATGTTTTGTGTGCTAGCACTCATTGTCAGCGATTCAGATTTCGAATAATATTTAAAAAGCGTATCTTTACTCTAAATAATTAATGGCATGATTCAAGATTATAAAGAAAAAAGAGAATCAATCAATCGTAATTGATAAATATTTTTGAACAAAATTACTTTATGAGACTCTTTCACCAAATTTGGAAATCCGAAGCTTATATAAATTTTATTATTAGTTTTCATCTGTTCCTATTCATGTGACACATATGACATATGTATCAAGATATTTTTTATCATCAATTTGTCGTGTGACTAATGATAAGATTTTATATCTCTCACGTGTAATATTTAAAAATATAACTATATAATATATATATAATAATAACTGAATAATGTATGAATGTATTAATTCTAGAATATCGGTTGAATTCATGGCTGATCTCATTAATCTTTTTTGTGAATTCTCTAAGAAATCAATTAACGACACACACAAAGAGAAAGAGAGAAAAGGAAAGAATAATGTTACAACTATTTCAAGGGGAAGGTTGCGCTGAAATCAGCTGTTGGCATTTTTCAATCCAATTAACGTGAGAGGATTACTTTGGAAATATCTGGGGCTATGTGGTGACATAGATTACCACGTCTTTTGCAGCGAAAGGATTGACCTATAAACGAATGCAACGACTCAAGCGTTTTCAAGGAATGCGGAATCATCGTTTAATCGTTGAACAATCGTCCTCGGACCTTCACCCCTTTCGTAAAGGGGATGTTAAAGTTTTTCCGGTGGTATTCGCATTTCAGTGAAATCGTCCCGACGGCGACGACGCTAATCGGCTTTCGCGAGCTTTGAGGTGTTTAACGTCGCTAGTACGATTTTCGCGGAAGTAACACCGCGATAAATCAGTGAAATACAACATCGACCGCCATTCAAACACAAGATCGTGTTAAGAAAACAATCAATTTTTGATTGATGGGTTTGACGTTATTTAAATAACAGAATATAAAAAAAAAAACTTGTGAGTTAAGAGGGAAAGAGGCA